CGAACTGGGGCCCTCTGGCATCCCAAGCCAGTTCTTAACCATCGCGCCACTCGGCCAGGCCAGCGGGTTAATTTTTGAGCCATGCTGTGTTTGTCTGTCCCTAACATTAAAGAGAGGCAAGTTGACATAATAGGCCCACCCAACAGAAAGCAGAGTTTCAGAAAGCCTTCGTTCAGGCCCTGACTGGGGGTTGCTTCATGCGATTCTGCACTTGTGTCTAAGCCCCATCCATCCAACATTGCTGAGCGGTGAAGGGAACCACAGCTCAAAGGAAGTTGTCAGGCCTAGGAAACCCAGGACTGAAAAATCATTTGCATTGGTGAGCTGTGGGCTGACCTGATGGTGGTTTTGTTTGTTTTTTCACATTAGACAATTTTGTTTTCATGTCTTCTTCCACCCTCTGTGGACCATGGTCCTGTGCATCATTCTGTTCCCTAGAGCACCTTGCCTAAGTACATCATTACCTTAAACAGAAATCGCTACCTCCCTTTACCACCCACTGCCTGCCTATACGGCCAGTGCTCTCTCACTGCCTTGCTCTTGAAGCTCCAGCCACACTAACCTGCTTGTAATTTCCTTCCAATTCATCTACCATTTCATCCCTCTAGTAGGAGTTTTTTCTTCCCTTCTATTCTGACTAACTCCTACTATTCTAAAATAGTCTAGACTTGGTTTAAGCATCACTTGCACTAAGAAACTTTCCTGGAGCTTTTTTGGTCATTAGCTGTGCTTATCTCTCCTTTAAATTAAAACAAAAGACAAAAAACAAAAACAAAAACAAAACAACAAAAACTTTATAGAAATATAATTCTCGTACCATTATAATTCACTTATTTAAATCTTGCAATTCAGTGGTTGTTGTATATTCAGATATGTGCAACCATTACCATAGTCAATTTTAGAACTTTTTCATTATCTCAAAAAGAAACCCCATACCCTTTAGATGTCACCTCCCTATGCTCTAGCCCCCTTCCTATCTGTAAGCAACCACTAACCTACTTTCTGTTTATATAGATTTCCCTAGTACAGACTTTAATATCATCACATAATATATGGAATTTTTGTTTGGCTTCTTTCACTTAGCATAATATTTTTGAGGTTCAGCCAAGCTGACACATCTGTTAGTACTGTACTCTTTTTTATTGCTGAGTAATATTCCATTGTATGCATATACCATATTTGCTTATCCATTCATCTGTTGATGGACATTTGGGTTGTTTCCACATTTTGGCTATTGTGAATAATGCTGCTATGAACATTCATGTACTAGTTCTTGTATAGACATATGTTTCCATTTCTGTTGGGTATTTATCTAGAAGTAGAATTGCTGGATCATACGGTAACTCCTGTTTAATTGTCTGAGGAACTGCCAGATTCATCTGAAGAGCTTCACCATTTTACATTCCCATCAGCAGTGTGTAAGGTTTCCAATTTCCCCACATCCTTGCAACACTTATTATTTTCTGTCTGCCTGATTCTAGCCATCCTAGTAGGTGCAAAGAGGTATCTCATGGTGTTTTTGTCTCCTTTAAATTCTTTTTTCATGTGTGTTTCACCCACATGTTGCTTCCCAGTATGCAGTTTGCTCTCAGATGTTGATGGGACTCAATTGAATGTGTTGCAAAGCTGTCATTTTTGTTGTTTTTGTTTGTGATTTCAGCAAGTGTCCAGCAGGCACGTGTGATGGATGTGCATTCTATTTCCTGTGGGAGAGTCCGGAAGCGTGCCCTCTGTGCACAGAACATGACTTTCACGAGATTGAGGGAGCTTGTAAGAGAGGATTTCAGGTGAGGAGCAAACCTATCTAAGCAGGACTGTATTACTGAAGATACAATTGTTTATAGTCCAGCATCAAGTTTACATCACAGAAACTCAGATTCAGAAGCATAGCTAAACATTATAGTTAACTTAATATGACATTAATATGCACTAGAATCAAGTGTGGTAGCTAAACTCCCATATGCTGGGGTAGCTAAAGATGTGCGCTGAGGTTAGGAAAATGAATTGTGGCAAAGGAATTGTAGGCTATGGGTACTTGCCTGTATTATGAAGAAATTATATCATGAAACCAAGATAAGATGATACAATGAAGTTACAGGTGTAATTAAGATTGAGATGGTATAACTGACTCAGCACATGAAGCATATCTAAAGAGGAAAGCAAACACACACACACACACACACACANCATCGCACCACTCGGCCGGCCCCCCAATAAATTTTAATTTAAAAAAACCTTATGTTCAAACTCGGTCAAAAGCGATTTATACTCTTCAGCCTTGGGGCAAATAAAGTTGGAACAAGATGCAGCAGCATTTTCTGGACCCCGCACAAGAGGAGTTTCTGCCAGTGGAAAGGCATCCTCAGCAGAGAAGGGCTGACCTTCCTGAGCTTCCAAAGCTGAGGCGAGTCACCAGCGGCAGGTCAGAGAGCGTAGCCCATGCCAGGGGATGTCAGTCTTCAGACCCCGAGGCTGGGAACCTCCAGAGACCCACAAAAGCCCCACATATAAGAAGCTCAGCAAGGTTAGTGCCCTGATACCAAATGAGAAATGTGCTAGACACACAGACTGGCTTTCCCCCCAGTCTCCTGATGCTAACTTAGGAAGCATCAGAAACATACTGGCAACATAGATGAATTTGTTTAAACTTTGGATTTTGAATGAAGCTTAGGCAAAACAATTTTACACTGCTTTATCAACTATCCAAACAATTAATAATAGGTTGAGTATTATTAGATCATAATAGTTCCAAAGAAAACAAGCTTCTTCTCTATGAATTCACAATGTGAACCGAGTTGATCCTGCTTTAGGTATGATGATTCTTTTAAAAGAGGGCATTAATAACTCATAACCCCATCTCCTATCCCCCGGGAAAATATATTCCAACGTGATTTCCTCAAAAAATATAATATTAAACATTCTTAAACATTGCCGGTGCCACCCTTGGTGGTAAGGCAGTCCCACAAGCAAAATAAGGAAACTGGAAAGTGTCTTCCACATTTACGAATGAAATCAAATCCAGGTCCACCTGGTTTTAATCAATGGTGGTTTCTCTATCTAGAATGTACAGCACATCTGGTCATCCTACAGAGGTCTAGCCTCAAACGCCCTGGCTATCCATGGCCTTGCCCTATGTCTTTAAACATTTACTCACTGGTTTCTGTGGTGACCGTGTGGATCAAAAGTTATACAAGAAGCACAATTAGTGACACTTCTAAAAAGCTGGGGGCAGAGGTTGAAAATGGTGGTGACACAGGTCATCAAACGGAAAAAAAAGAGTGTTTCACATATTTCGCAGTAAAGGGTTGATTTATCTTACTATTTGCTTTTTGTTCTTCTCTTAGAAGGAAAAATATTTTTTTTCTCTTACATCTTTTTTTTCTATTTTCATTTTCTATATAAACACTTTTGAAATTATTACAACTTCATACATGCTCTTTTCACAGGGATGGCCTGATTCAAACTGTGAAACTTATGTTTATAACAAAGAACCAAATTTGAATGTTCCAATGACTCTTGGGGTTAAAAGAATTAAAGAACTGATTCTGAATTCAACGGCTTTTAACCTAAGTTTTAAAATGTGAAGTCTACCAAGGAAAGACACTGAAACATGGTAGTATTTTGACACCTAATGGCAGCTTGATAAATTACATCAATGTCTTGATACTTTTTTCCATTTCTGCAGCTCTCCCAGTTCTTGAGAAAATAATGTGCATTGTTGATAGTGTTTTACATTTTGCAGTGCTTTAAACTTTCCCAAATTGTTCTCTTATTTTATCCTTTCTAACTACTCCATGAAGGCAGTATAGCAGACATACCGCTTTGAACAAATTACAAAATGAGATGGTGGGGTGGGAGGTTGAGTCACTTACGGAAAAACACACAGTCATTTGAAAGCCCACTTAGAATTGTAACCCAAGACTTCTCTCCAGAGCTTTATGCAACTTTGATTAATTTTCTCATTTTCTTTTTTATTTGTTGAGTTTTTCTTCTCAAATTTTAGCAGACTTACGCTTACTTTCCCAAGAGAAACAGTCTCCCCCTCCTTAAAACTTCTGTGTGTTGGAAAGATAAAATGGAAAATAATTTGGAGATTTGAGCAGGAAAGCATATTGGTAATGTTTGCTAATGATCATAAAAATGTAGTTATTGCTAAGTTGTAAATCATTGTTAAGCAAATAATAATTATATTTTTGAAGAGTTTGTCTAATTGGTTACCTTTTTTTTTTTTCAAAAGAGTAATTTTGAGTTGCTTTTACTGATCTGGAAGATGGAAATAGTTTTCATTTATTACATTTACCTTTTTAAAAAAGTAAATGTTTCCTAGAATATATTTATTATTCCCTTGTTACAAACAGAGAAATTAAGGCAGATAAGAGTTAACATGTTGTAAAGAACTTTGCTTTTATTTATGTCCCACCCATGTCCACTTAGTCTGCAGCACTGTACAGACTTTGTAAAGGTAGGTATGTAAGGATGCACTCAATTTTTAGGCACTTAGATTTTCTAGGGTAACTTATATGAGTATTTAGTTAACTAAGAATATGAAATTTTACCTTTCTGATAGACTAAAAATTATATTTTGGGCATTTGAAGTTAAAACTTGAAGAGGGCTGTTTTTTGGATTCTTCCTATTATTGTGTGTTTCTCTTCTTGCTATGAAATGTTTCAGGACACCTGTACTCAGTACCAGCTAAGGTCGGAAGGAGGTTTCCAGGGCAATCAATGCCCTAAATTTACACGGCTTGACATAAGGGAAGTGTAGTGGAGAATTTAAGGGAACAATATTTCCCTAGTTTTAATGAATTCATGAACAAAAGAGTCATTCCCATTAGAATTTTTACAAATAGCTTCTTACTTCAATCAGTAAGGATTCTGTACACAGTAACAGCAG